GACTGATGCTCTGCTTCTGATGGCACAGGTCCACCTCTGTGTGTTCACCACACGGCCGCTGAATAATGATCTACTTGACAGCAGTTCATAATAACAGTACTGCTTTATTTCCAGATAGTTTAGTATTTAAATTTCATGTATAATGTTTAATGGAAACAAATATTTCTTTTTTTATTAACCCAAATATCGTGGCACCTGTTTACAAGTACATTTGTTATTTGATCTAATTTCTTTGTGTGGCAAAATAGTTTTTATAGGCTACAGATTTAATAGAAAAATTACCAAAAAACCACATATGTATTTTATAAAGCTATTTAATTTCCATTTTTTTAATACTCCTAACAACATTATAAAATAAGTAGAACAAGTAGCCTTATCAATTCCATTTTATTGGTGATGAATCTGAGTTCAGAGAAGCTATGAGTGTTGCCTGGTCATTTCAAGAAATGATCAGGGAATGGAAACTACCTCTCTAAATCTGAATCTGTGGAAAGAATAATTACAAACTGCTTTGCTTTGCTTATTGCTCCTAATTGGTTTTTTTGTCTACACACACACACACACACACACACACACACACACACACACACACACACACCCCTTTTTGAGTTGATGGATTCCAGTTATTTAAAGAACCCATTATAATGTGGGAATTTTAATATCTAATATAGGTCAGTATATCAGATTTGGTAGGTTCTGAACTCTCTTAGTATTTCTCAAAAGTCTGTGTTACAAGAATTGTAAGATTGGAGAAACTTTATAAAGTTGCCCAAAAGTAGTCTGGGGAACCTTTTTTAGACTGAGAAAATTAGATATTTAATAAAGTATAAAAGTAATACTCTTCCAATCTGTTGGCCAAATAGCTGTCCTCCAGATTTCCTGGCATAGACTAATAAACACATCCAAGGCTGCACCTGTTAGTTGAAACAAGTCAGTTGGTACCCCATTGATTTCTGGGGCCTTATTTTTTGCCAGTGCTTTTAATGTAGCTTGCACTTCCTCCTTCATTTCTTTTGGCTCCTGTTCATATAGTGCTTCCTGACATTTTTCGGTGTCAGTCAATTCTTTCTTTGATTCTGTGTATTCCCTCCATCTCCTTTTGATGCTTTCTAAGTCATTCTGTTGCCCACAGCATCTTTCAGTATTGCAACATGAGGCTTGATTTTTCAGTTCTTTCAGTTTGAGAAATGCAGAGTGAGTTCTTCCCTTTTTATTTTCCAGTTCCAGCTGTCTTCACATTCCATTATGATACTTTGCATATTTGTTCCCATTCCCAAGAAGGGTGATCCAACTGAATGTGGAAACAATTGAACAGTAGCATTAATATCACATGCAAGCAAAATACTGCTGAAAATAATAAAAAAATGGCTAGAACAGTATTTAGGTGTGTGTGTGTGTGTGTGTATACATATTTATTTATATAGAGATAGATACAGATATAGATATATATGTATAGTATATGCCAGAAGTTCAATCAGGATTTAGAAGACGCCATGGCACCAGAAATATCATTGCTAATGTCAGCCTGATCCTGGCTGAAAGTAAAGAATACCAGAAGTATGTCTATTAGTGCTTTATTGACTATGCAAAGACATTTGACTGTGTAGATCATAAAAAGTTGTGGCTGACATTGAGAAGAATGGGAATCCTAGAGCACTAGATTGTGCCCATGTAGAACCTATACCTGGACTAGGAGGCTTTTGTGTGAACAGAGCAGCGGACCTATTCAGTCTGTATGCAGAACAAATTATCTGAGAAAATGGACTCTATAAAGCAGAGTGTGACATCAGGATTGAAGAGAAATTCTTCAATAACTTCTGTTAAGCAGATGACACAGCTTTGCTTACTGAAAGTGAGGAGAACTTGAATCACTTGTTGCAGAAGATCAAGGAATGCAACCTTCAGTATGGATTGCATCTCAATATCAAGAAAACAAAGATTCTTACCACTGGAACAGTAGGTAGTGTCATGATGGATGGAGAGGAGATTGAAACTGTCAACAGCTTCATCTTGCTTGGATCTACATTGGTACCAGCAGTCAAGACATAAGGAGACACATTGCACTGGGAAAATCTGCAGTTAGGGACCTCTCCAAATTACTGAGGAGCAATCATGTAAGTTTGAGGACTAAGGTGCATCTTATTAAGGCCATAGTCATTCTTATCACTTGCTGTGCATCTGAGAACTGGACAATAAATAAGGATTGACAGAAAAAGAATTGACACTTGTGAGCTATAGTGTTGAAGAAGAGCACTGAATATTCCATGGACAGCAAAGAGAACAAACATTTATCTTGGAGGGAGTGCAGCTGGAGTGCTCTTGGGAGGCAAGAATGAAGAGCCTTTGCCTCACTTTCTTTGAGCATGTTTCTAGGAAATGCTATTCTCTGGAGAGGGTCATGATGCTGGGAAGGATAGAGGGGTGATGAAAGAAAAACCCTCAGCCAGGTGGATTGGCACAGTGACTGCTGCAATGAGCTCTTGTGTGTCAGGAATTGTGAGGATGGTGTAGGGTAGAGCAGGATTCAGCTCTTTTGTACATAAGGTTACTATGAGTCTTGCTTGACTCAACGGCACCCACCAACAACAAAAGTAATACTAAATCAGCATAACTTTAAGAGACGTAGGAAATTTTATTGAGTAAGAATTTTCTAAAGTCTCTTTGGCTAGGATAGTGTTTTGTTCTGTTTTTACATGGTGTTGCTGTGAGTTGTAGCTGCCTGCGTGGCTCTTAACAGCATAATGACAGTATAAATTGTTTATGATTAAATTATTGAAAATAGAAGTTTATATGATTATGCTTCAAAATGTTCTTCCATGATTCCTGAAAACTGCTATGGAAACAAAAACTGTCTTTCTCTCTTTTTTTTTTTTTTTAAGAATGCTTCAGAGAAGTCATATACGTACGACTAGATGAACTTCTTCTTGCTTTAAAGTCTGTAATGACTAAATATCAGAGCCTCAATTCTGTTGATCTTCAGAATGCTGCAGATATGCTTATTGCAAAAGTGAAAGGTAAGGAAGTATATTAAAAGTGGACTGAAGTGAGCAAAAGGATTAAAAGTCTATCTTTTGTTCCATTTGGACCGACTTTGCTATGGTGTGTATCAATAAAGAATTATGTCTCTTATTTAAATATATCTACCATCAACTGTGAGGGGTTTCTTCCTGTCTTTGTTATCTACTACTGCTATTACAAATTCCACAGATGTATGACTTTACACAGAGAAGTTTACTTTCTTTTAGTTTATTGTTTGGTCCTGTCAAGTTGGAACCAACTAATAACTGATCCTTCTGTGGGTTTTCAGAGACAGTAAATCGCATGAGAGAAGACTGCCCATCTTTCTCTCGCAGAGCAGCTGGTAGATCTGAACTTTGTGCCTTTGGGTTGGCAGTACAGCTCCTTAACCCTGGGCCACCAGAGCTCTCTTCTCACAGTTTAGGAGGGTAGTAGTCTGAATTCACGTTGTCAGCTCTGGGAGAAAACTTGATCTTTATTGATTCACAGTTTCTGTAGGCCCAGAATTCTTGGAAGCTGCCATGTGTCTTTTCAGCAATTTTTCTTTGACTTTTGGTCTGAGGATTCTGGATTCAATGGATGGGTATGCTCCCAGCTGTTCTTTTTCTGTGGTATTGGCTCTTTCTAATCTAGGCTTGCTTGCTTAATTTCTTTTATATGTCAAAAGAGATTGTTGCAAGATACAGCCCACTCATGTAGGTTGTATTATGCCTCCTTAGCACAACTGCCTTTCATGCTACCTCATTCATAGAGATGAGGATTTGCAAACCATAGTATAATTACATCAGATCACAAAATAGAGGATAATTACATAATACAAAAAAATTTACAAAAAAAAAGACATGGTCCAGTGAAGTTGGTACATAATTTTTTTGGGGGGGAATACAATTCTATCTATGACTTTCCTTCTAAAATTAAAACTATTTTATAGTGAGAACTCTAGAGATATTAAGTAAACTAACAAGTAACATTATAAAATTGACTTTTTAAAAAGAATACATTCCATGTTCTCTTGTGAGTTATTAGAGTATATTCAGTGATTGGGGGTTATGTGTAGATAAGTGATGCTGGATAATGATCACTTTTGGTATTAATTTAGAAGCCACGTGGAAGAAATTAAGCTTTAATTGGTACATTACTTGAAATGTGAAAATAGTAATTTTTGATGGTGAAGAGATTGAGATTGTTCACAGCTTTAGTTTGCTCGGCTACACGGTCA